GACCAGCAAATTTCAGTCGAAAAGAAAACATCCTAAGCCTTGGCTAAACCTTCAAAATATTAATGTCATAGGGCCTTTCAAATCCTCCTAGCCATTATCCGACTACAATAATTTATGCTAAGAAAAATTCTCATGTTGTGGCAATGACACCTAGAAGGTAATGGGTTGCTCCTACAACACGTCCTTTTATGTTCGTCCACTCAGCCATCTCTCCAAATTTTATTTAGAAAATTCTGACCATACATAGAGGGTGGTGAGTGTAGAGCCCCAATTGGGAGAAGAAAAAATTAAATAGCATCGTCTCTACAATTTCACGATAGCGTCATCTTTCTTGTAATTAGCTTAAAGAATCATTTTTTTTAAAATTTTAGGAAAATTAAATTACAAAGCTGACACCTAAAGAGTGGTATTATAAGAAGCCTCTTGTGTGCATGCCTATGTTTTAAAATGCACACTAAAATGTTAAAGCTGAGTTTTTTTATCGATGGGATTAAGATTACTTTTTCGCCGGACTAATGTGTTGGAATTTAGATTTTAGACTGAGAAAGATCAAAGTTGTTTCATCGAAAAATTGAGCAATTGACAAATTGAGCATGGCATCATAACTATTTTCTTATTGAAATAGACGTCTCATTGATATTATTTATTGTTTATAAAGAGAGATGCAAAAGTGGTTTCAAACAAGTGTGAGAAAGGTGAACTACACAAACAAAAATATGGTAGAGTTGACATTAAGAGCCCGTTTGGTAGCACGAAAATCGGCTGTTTTGGCTGATTCTGCTGAAATTTATGAAATTCTGGCTGAATTGGCTGTTTTGGCTGATTCTGCTGATTCAAGAAAAAAATATTTTTAAAATATATTTTATTAATAAATTATAGAAAAAATTACATGTAAAAATAGCTAAAATAGTCCTCTACAGTAACTTCAGCCAATACAGCCAGAAAAGTAACTCCAACCTTACTTTTTCTGCTTATTACACAATTCAACACACAAAAGTAAAAGTTACGTGTTTGGTGAAAAAGTTGTCTGATAAGCCTGATAAGCCGAAAAAAGAGGTCTCCAAACAGGCTCTAATCCTTTGATTTCTTGCAGTTAACTAATTACTTTTTGTTGGTGTGATGAAGTGTTATGTTATTGGGGTCTTTAATTTGATTTTGCAACACACACAAAAAGTAATTTAATTAGTATCAGTATATTTACATTTTCTGGGGTACAATATGAAGTTTGTATATAGTTTTCAGTTTTCAAGTAGTGGGGTATTTCAAATAATTAATACAAAACGTACACATCTAATCTTCAAATGTGTCATAAGCCATGTTTCAAAAATGACTATCAACCTTTTTTAGAGCTTTTTTTATTCATTAATGAGTTTAACTATGTAAGCAAATCAAATTATTGTTTGGTAAATGATCAAATGATTTAGCTTATTAGATCCAAACAGATACTCCCTCCGTCCCATAATTATCTTCATTCTTTCCTTTTTGGTCCGTCCCAAATTTATCTCCTCTTTCCCATTTTAGCAAAGGATTTGTGGTTCACAATCATTCTTACACATTTCTCTCTCCTCTGCACAACTCTCCACCACACATTTCCCACTTTCTTAATCTCCGTGCCCAGTCAAAACCGAAGTTAATTCTGGGACGGAGGGAGTAATATTTAAAAGGCCACGAGGTCTAGCATTTAGATTTGACAGTTCTCTCTCCTGCCTACCCCTCTGGTACTATTTTAGTTAGTATAGCTAGCTTGATAGTTTTGATGCATTGAACTATTCTATTTTCTGGATATGTATATATATTTACATTTTATCCAAAAATAAATTTGGCAGTTCTAATTTCTACCTTCCATGCTCTTCACGTTTCACACTTAAATTTAAATCTTCCGCTTGTTAGTCTTGTATTTCTTAGTTGCTCTATACTTGTCGAATAATATTTTTTTAGCCAATTAATTGTTTTCTTTTGATTGAAATATAATATTTGACTTTTTTCAATTGGAAATCTGTCTATTCTCAAATTTTGTCCCTATTCGTAATGTGATTAGGGAAGGATTACCCGACACAAGCTACTGATTTAGGTGTTAGCAATTTGTTCAATGCTTTTTGTATACAACCATGAATCAAATGAAACCGAATTTTCAAGCCTCCTACTTAAGTGGCAAAGCCTCAATTATATGCGATCATATATAGTTTGATAAAAGACCAAATGAAATGCTTCAAAAGTAGTTTAATTTGATGCCCTCTTCAAATAATCTTTTTATTCAAATTATATCTCTTAATGATTAATAATGACAATTCCATGAGAGCATGCAATTAAGAAGCAAGTGGCAATTATGTTAGTTTGCCAAATTCAGAGAGTATGAAAAAAAAAATCTTGTTGAGGCTTGGAGGGCGATTTCATTGGAATACAAGTAGCTACCCATATATAGCTCTATCATTGATTTGTTGTGCGAAGGATTTGTTGTGGTGTGGTTTGTGACGATAATTTAGGGTGCGTTCGGCAACGTTTCTATTTTTCGGTTTCTGTTTTTTTTCTTAGAAAAAAAACAGAAACACGTTTGGTAAAAAGTTGTTTTTGTTTATAAAATCATAATCTTTGTAAGTGTTTTTAGAAAATGAAAACATAATTCTGAAATCCACAAAATATAGTTTCTATAAATTTGTTATCATTTATCTTCAATACCCAACTGCCGGGACACAACCGGCCACCACTGGACCACCACCGGCCACCACCGGACCACCACAGGACCACCACCGGACCACCACTGGCCACCACCGGACCACCACCGGCCACCACCGGACCACCACCGACCACCACCGGACCACCAATAATTATTTGTTTCTTGGAATTCCAAAACTGAAAATGAATTAGCACTAAAACAAAACGATTTCAAAAAACTGAGAATAGAAAACTAAAAACAGTTTTTTGTTTTTAAAAAACCAAAAACAGAAAACTCAAAACTAGGGGTGCAAACGAGCCGAGCCGAGCCCGATTTTCTACAGGCTCGAGCTCGAAATATATAGCATCGGCTCGAGCTCGGGCTCGGCTCGAACGAGCCTACAAAATCGCGGCTCGAACTCGACTCGCAGAAGGCTCGGTTCGACTCGGCTCGGCTCGAGGCTCGATAACCATTATGATGCTCCATAATGAGTCCGTAGTAAAAATTCACTGTCATCGGCCCATTCTAAGTTTTTCTACTGAGTAGTAACGACCTAAGCCTAAAATATTATAAAATTTTACTAATCAGCATATATTATATACTCCCTCCGTCCCCTTTTAAATGTCCCGTTTTACCATATTGGGATGTCCCTATTTAATTGTCTCATACCTTATTTGGTAAAGTTTGTGTGGTTCAAAATTAGTTTTACTTTATTCTCTTACTTTATCAATTAATATCAATCACACAAACCCACTTTTCTTAAAACTCGTGTCATACTCTTCCGAGACATTTAAAAGGGGACGGAGGGAGTATATCATATATATTACTCCGTACATTATAACAGTATACATTATATATTAATTTATATTGCATAGTAATATATTATATATGATTATATAATATATATATATATATATATATATATATATATATTATAAATAATCACATATAAAATTAGGCTCGCAAGCCAGCGAGCCTGAAATTAGAAGGCTCGAGCTCGGGCTCGACTGCTTAACGAGCCGGCTCGAGCTCGGCTCGAGCTCGAATTTGACCGATCCCGATTCGAGCTTTGACCGAGCGGCTCGCGAGCGGCTCACGAGCGGCTCGGCTCATTTGCACCCCTACTCAAAACTATACCGAACGAGTCCTTATTTATCAGTTTTTATAGTTTTATGAATGAATTAAATGTAACGTTCACATATGGTTGCCAAACTAATGCTTGAAATTATAAATACAGTATTTGCTTATGTTTTTACACGTTTTTTATAGTCTCATATTTATTTTCAAATAGTTAATTTTACCAAATACAACGTCTTCGTGGTTCTTTACAAAAAAACTAACACAATCAACTTTTGTTTAATACCAACGTAACAGTATGACAATAAGATAACCGCTAAGCCATTGGCAAGCAATTGTTGTAAAACTGAGGATGTTTCTTATTAGACTAGTTTATGTTACGTTCCTACTTCCTAACCAGCCAAAACTATACTTAAACAGATAAAAACCAGATTAGTCGGGATAGTTTTTTTTGTGAAACGTATATTGTTATCCTCGGTGATGGACTAAAAAGAAAATAAACATAAATTTCAGATCTGAAAAACAAAAGATTAATTTTGCGGGGATGTAAATCAAAATGCCATATATTTGCAGAGACTAGAAACATATTTAAACCTTATAAAATAACTTCAATCGTAAAAATTATCTCTAATTAAAAACATCTTAAGAGCAACTCTAATGCAATAATATGCACAGTACATACGTGACATGAACGATAGAAGAAACAAATACGTATCATTAATATTTAATACTCTGTATAATATCTCCCTCTTATATACTCGATCCGTCCCGAAAAGGTTCATCAAAATGACTTTTCTTCTTGTTCAATGACATTTAACTTTGATCAATGATATTTTTAATACGAAATTATTTTGAATATGAAAATTATATCAAAATGTTCGTAATTCTTGACTCAGTTTTTTCAGCTTATCAGACTTTTCAGCCAACTTTTTAACCAAACACGAAATTATTGATTTCGCGAGCTGAATTGTGTAAAAATGAGAAAAAGTAAGGTTGAAGTTACTTTTGTTGCTATATTGGCTGAAGTTAGTGTAAATGACAATTTTTGTTATTTTTCATATAATGTTTTCTTTATTTTATAAATAAATTAATTTTTTCAGGTCGAACTTCATAATTTTAGCGGAATCAGCCGTTTAACCCGATTTCAATGTTACCAAAATGCTCAAAATATTTTGATAAAAGTATAAAATTTTAAAATTATATACAATCATGTTCATAACTCAAGATTGAGTTATGAAATTTTGATAAAAGTATAAAATTTTAAAATTATATACAATCATGTTCATATCCAACCGATCATGTCCGTCTAACGGCCAGCCGGAGAAATCGTCGGAGAGACAACTCAAGATTGAAGTGACTTGGAAATTTTCATCATCTTCATATTCATACCCGTGAGATTATATACGCGGGGAAGGCTTACTTATCAGGAAATTGGTGGTTGGATTGTAGTCAGTGTTTGATTCTGGGAGAACTTCAATCACGGCTCTTCTCGGATCCATCCCCAACAACCCGACCTTCAGAATTCATCCCCGCCGCTTAGAGTTTCTAGGAAATTTCTCTCTGGTGGACGACAAGCACAAGATCCCTTCTCCCCACGGCGGCAGGGGTGCCTTACCCTCCGAAGGCGGCTGCCCCTCCGATCTCCTGTCCCTTGCGGCCGGAACTTTCCAACCGTTCCTCTTTCTATCATTTTCTCCGATTACTTTTTATTTATCTTTCCCTCATCGTTAGTTATTTCGACTTTTGAACCCGCATTTCTGGATACGCAGCAACAATCAGATTAGATACATATTGATCCGAGATTTACAAGAATGTTGACCATTAAGAGGGTTCCCACAGTCGTTTCCAACTACCAGGACGATGTTCCTGAGAATTCCACCTTGAAATCTCAGGCTTGTGGCCGCAATTGTCTCGGCCAGTGCTGTTTGCCTGGTAAGTATATTCAAATTCATTTCTGTTTCATCATAAGCAAAATGTGAATGCATTCCATTTCAATTCAATGTTGATCACATATTCACATATCTTCATTTATCTGTATTTAAGTGTGTTTTTAATAGTTTAATGTGTAGTTGCTTGTTCCAGTTTCTTGTCTTCCACTATTTGCATTCAAGAATGATGAGCAGAAGTGCCTTGGTGCTGCACACCGCTCAAGTTATGAAGAGTCTGCAATTTCCTTTCTAAGGGATTTGCTGCTTGGGCAGTGGGAAGAGAGAATGAGCCAGGGATTATTCCGATATGATGTGACCGTTTGCGAGACAAAAATCATTCCCGGCATGTTTGGGTTTATTGCACAGCTCAACGAGGGACGCCATCTAAAGAAACGCCCTACACAGTTTCGAGTTGATCAGGTTCTTCAGCCGTTTGATGATAATAAATTCAACTTTACAAAAATTGGTCAGGAAGAAGTTCTTTTTCGGTTTGAACCAAACAATGACCGCAAATCGTGTTACTTGCACAGTGCAGTAGTTGATGTTCATTCTGGCTCGCCTACTGTTGTGGCTATCAATGTAAGATTCTTGGGCCTTTGGGGGGAGTTTTATTGATTCAATACCCATAGAAGAGATTATCAAAGATGAAAACTATCCATATAGGACTTGAATTATTGAAACAATCAATTAAAGAGAAAATGTCAAAATTTCAGTTCCTTTTTTTAAAAATTATTTTTAATAAATTAAATATGATATATTTAGTACTTCAATAATATAACACTGATAGAACCTTCGATGAAATTTTAGCATACAAATAAGGAAGAATTCCTTAGTATTACTGAGTAACTAACCTTTGGACAAAGATGTTAGTACATCCGCCCCAGTTTAAGTGTCCTAATTTGGACTACGAGGTTTGCCTGAAGTTAAAGAAAAATCTACCTTAATAATATTTAAACTGGGTGGTAATAATTAAATATTAATATATTTAGGAACTACAAAAAAAAATCCATTGAAGCATAAAATTTGAATCAAATATGTTTAATGTTTCATACACAAAGCAAGAAAATAAAGATTGACCATATGAACTGTGAAAGTGACAAAAAATGTGAATGAGAATACTTAGGTTTTCTGACATAGATTTCGCCATCGCAGATACTATTGTCCAATTCGCCATAATGACTTACCAACACGGTTATTTTTGGTACCTGGCCAGTTCACTTTGATGTTTTTGTTGGTGACATTTATGTCTTAAAATTAAAATGAACAATTTTGCCATTTACATAGTTGTGTTTAATACAAAATCACAAATAATAATCAATAAAAAGATTCAAAATTCACAACTTTCTTAAGTCATAGATAGATAGTTTCAACCATGCAGATCCTACATCCACATTTCACCTTTCATGCCGTAAATTGATAGATAGTGTATGTTTTGGGTCCTCAATTCATAAAACTGCTTTTTATGCTAGTAATTAATATGCTTGGTTATACTTTGTTGTATGAAATTTCCTTCTTCAGGTGAGTCCTATCGAGTATGGACATGTTCTTTTGATTCCCCGGATTCTTGATTTCTTGCCTCAAAGGATTGACCTTGAGAGCTTTTTTCTTGCAATGCACTTGGCTAAGGAAGCAGGCGATCCTTTTTTCAGGGTTGGTTATAATAGTTTGGGTGCCTTTGCTACCATTAATCACCTCCACTTTCAGGTAATTTGCTTTTTTGCTGATGTATGCTTAGAAAAGTGCCCAATTATGTACTTACTATCTCCAGTTCAAATTATTTGCCTTGCAGCAAAAAATAATAAAAAATAATCTTTCAAAATAGTTGTCACTTTAGGAATTCAATGTATACTTTTTACTAATCTTCCCAATATGCCCCTATCGACCCCTCCCCCTACATTTAATGCTTTTCTAACTTGAAAGCAATAAATGTCATTTAACATTAAATTCAGATGAGGATAAAGTAGTCATTTTGCTAAGTTCCTTAATATGTGTTCAAGTTAAATGTTAAAGGACTATTGTTTTGGGACTTTTTGGTGTTGCTAAATACTCCTCTAAGTCTTTCTTTTCAGGCGTATTACTTGCAAGTTCCTTTTCCCGTTGAGAAAGCCCCAACTCGCAATATAATGAAGAGGGTCAAGGGTGGTTCTGAAGTCGTAGTTTCTCAGCTATTAAATTATCCTGTGCAAGCTCTCGTGTTTGAGGGTGGGAGTACAATGCGTGATTTATCTGATGCTGTTGCTAAGTCTTGCATTTTCCTTCAAAACAATAATATTCCTTTCAACGTTCTAATTTCTGAATGCGGGAAGAAAGTCTTTCTGTTTCCTCAGGTACTCACCGACTTTGTTGGTTGCTGTGAAATTGGTGCACTTGCATGTGATCCTTCTTAATTCATGGCTAAACAGGAATACAGGGTAAAGATAATGAATTGGTTATAGATTAAACTCAACGAATTAGTTATAGATATTCTAATACTCCGTATGACCGTATGACTGTTCATATTTAGCTTTCATCTTTATTTTTCCCTCTTTTCTAGCATTTTGTGTGATCCAAACATACCCCTAATATAGAGCCCGTTTGGAGAACTCTGTTTTCGGCTTATCAGGCTTATCAGCCAGCTTTTTCACCAAACACGTAACTTTTACTTTCGCGCGCTGAATTGTGTAATAAGTCGAAAAAGTAAGGTTGGAGTTACTTTTCTGGTTGTATTGGCTGAAGTTAATGTAGAGGACCATTTTAGCTATTTTTACATATAATTTTTTCTTTAATTTATTAATAAAATATATTTTTAAAATATTTTTTTCTTAAATCAGCAGAATCAGCCAAAACAGCCACTCCAGCCAGAATATCATAAATTTCAGCATAATCAGCCAAAACAGCCGATTTTGGTGCTACCAAACGGGCTCATAATCTTACAGAAACTTCAAACAGTTCATTAATGGTGTAAGAAGTAGTTTCTTTGGAAATTCAAATACAAATCAGGAACTCTGGAACTTTTGAGGGGGATATATTATCTATGAACTTAGGCCTTATAATTAGTGAGCGATTGGATGGGGATTACTATAAAGTTATGAACTGAACCTCTTAAACTTGATGTACTTGGAATTGGATAAAGTCACATTTGGAATGGCGAGAGTTCATCTGGTTCCTAAGAAGTTAGAACCACTCAAACCCATGTTGTATTTGAGAATTGAAGGTATGTGATGCCTTCAATTTTTGGAATCAAGGGGAACTCCTGTGAATCAGAAGCCAATCCAAACAAGCCCTTAAGTCTCTGCTGACGAAAAAGGAACTCACTTCTTGACTTCCTTGGTAAATTTTCAAGTGTTATGCAGAGAAACAAGCACGGGGAGAAGTAGACAAGGAAATCCTGGAGACTATGGTGAATCCTGCAATTTGGGAAATCAGTGGACATATGGTTTTAAAGAGGAGAGAGGATTATGATGATGCGTCCGAGGACTATGCATTTAAGCTGCTTTCTGAGGTTTCTTTGTCCGAGGACAGGTTTGAAGAAGTGAAGGCTTTTGTTTCTCAGGCTGCTGGCATGCATCTAGACTCCGACATTAACTGTACTTATGAGACTCATGGGCCCCAAGTGAGCCGTCATTTACCTAAAGACTGCCTGGTGCTGCTCTGAAGTCAACGTAAGCGTTCTGCAGGTTCGCTCGTGTTTGGGCCCACCTGACTAATAAGTTTGTGAAGAATAAGCGGATGACTCGGCCTGGCTAAACTCATCTCGTGTTTGTTTCTTTAATGAATGTAAAATCTTAAACAGTTATAAATCCTTAACAAACAATCCCTTACAGAGCTAGACTCGGTTCGCCCTTGTTTGGTGGCCTCTCTAGTTATAAAGGTCCATTGTCCGATACTCCGATTATAGTAGAACTTTGAATAAGATTGAGTCGTGTTAGGTGAATGGCAGATTTGCTTATGTAAAGCCAAGGCTCATAATGTTTTGCACTTTCTCTGCTTTAGCTGAGAAAAATCTGAAGTCTTCACCGAGTATGCAAGGAAATTTCACGCTCCCACTCATTTCAAGGTCTTCGAAGACTCTTTATACCAAAAGTTAATTAAACGGCGGGGGTGGGCAGTAGAGTAGACTAGGTTACCGTGTAGAAAGTAGAAACTAGAAATTGTGAAACAATTCCTTGCTTGGCGCACCCCCAATTCTGCTTTATGTAACCTTAGGTTCACTATTTTACCCCTTAATTTTTTAACTTTAAAAAGCTACGGAGTATTACACCGTATAATTACTTTCTTTTAGGAACAAAACCCATTCTACAGTAGTATAGTAGTACTCCCTCCGTAACTTTAAAATTTTCCCATTTCAAAAGTAGATAGATTAAGAATAGTGAAAGATGATATGAATTATTGAGGGTATGATGGGAAAATAGTGGAATAATGTGGTGGAATGTAGGATAAATCCAAAAAAAGTAGTTGTAATAGTGTATTATTTTAAGAATTATTGAGGGTATGATGGGAAGATTTAGAAATGAGAAGATTTTTGTGTTACGGACGAAAAAGGAAAGTGAGAAGATTTTTAAGTTACGGAGGGGGTACTAAGTAGTATAGTACTATACGTTGCCAGCCTGCCACCTCTACTATTCTACTAATTTCATTTAATGACTCAAAATTGGTTCAATTTAAATTGACGTGGAGTAAATTTTCACTTGTTTATAGGAACAAAACCCATTCAATACTTTTTTATAAAATGCTTTGGAGTATATTTTCACTTGTTTCCCGATTTTAACAAACAAAAGTATATCAAATTGAATAAATTTTTATGGTCTATGACACAAACATTGCAGTTGTAAAATTCTAAAAAACACTCTCTATTAGATTTTTACTTTAATAGGCTGTTCCTTAAGTATTACTATGAGTAAAAATGTCATTTAAGTATCACCATAGTCACTACAATGTAAATGCGGACATCATCATTATCACCAAAATTACAATTTTAATCACTGGTTTAAAGTATAAAAATTCACGTTACTTTCCATTGGACGTGACAAATTTTGAAACACATCATAAAGAAGACTTCAGATACAAATTGTGAGGCGGATGAAGTGATTTATATCAAACAAGATAGATGAATACCTCATAAGTCTACAAGTTAAAAACAGTATTTTTTAGATCACCGTCATATTCATTCTCCATTATACAAAAAGATTGTAAAGAATTTATCAAACCATTATAATGTGTTAGACATGTTTATATAGTACTCCCTCTATCCCGTAGAGAGGTTCGCACAAGTTTTACGATGTTCGATTGACCATAAGTCTAACCGATCTTTGTCCGCAATTAGATATTTTTAGTACATAAAATTTTCATATTCATAAATTACATTAAAAGTTTTTATAAATTGTCCGTAAAAGTTTTATAAATTAAAGTCACAAAAGAAAAACTCATACGAGTATTTGAAAACAGTTGGATATACAAAGTAAAAGATTAAAAAGACTTTACGTTGATCGGAGAATAATGGACGTGAACCTTTGAATAAGACGGAGGTAGTATTTGTTTGATGGTAGGTACAATTACTAACTCTCATTATATTAGGAATTTAAGTATATTTTAAGAATTTTTTTAGAAACAATGTTACACAAAATTTAAGGAAACATTTTTTTTGAATGAAAAATTAATTAAACACTAAAACCTATTTTTTGAACGTAAACCTATTTTTTATTTTAAAAAAGACAGAAGAAGGCCCATTAAAAGATCAATACGAATAGAGATAATGACTTAATGAGATATATGGTCCTTGATCAATACGTATACGGAGTATACTCGTATTAGTTAGAAAATTGAAATACTATGCACGTTCCTATTCCGTATGAAAGAGAGGACACATGTGTCCAACAATGGAAAGAAGAAGGTGGGCCTAGCATTAATAGCGGTGCGCGGAGTTCGAGCGTTCCGTGGGCGCTTGGGGCCTCGTGATTGTCAATGAATATGTTTCGGTCATTTATCACACCATTTATTAAAGGGGAATTGTCTTAAGTAAGAGTAAAACAAGATTTAGAATTCTAAAATATGAGTTATGTTTTTCTTCTCGAAGCAAGAATCGTTATGCAATGTCAATGCCTAGTATCACAATTATTTGGTAGTAATGACAGCAAATATTGCCAAGTAACTATTTTTTTTATAAAAAAAACATAGCAGTCTTATTTTGGAATTTCAAAACTTGATTACTCCTTTTTCGGGAACTTTCACTTTATTCAAGCATAATTTCACAAATAAATTGAAATATCTCACAGCCATTTAGAGTTCCATAAAAACCCTCCAAAATATGATTTCTATTTATAAGAAACAAAATTGGTTTTTAAAAGTAGATTCAACTACATCTTAAATATAACTACAGAATCATGATGAATGAAACAAGTTTTAGGAAATTAGTTGCATGCTAAGCATCTTACGTGATATTCAATCTCACGTGTAACACTCCATGTAGTAATATTATTATACGAAATGTATTTATTTAAAGTAATTGCTTAAGATAGGAGTAAAACATTAAAGAAGTTCCAATATAGGAATTACTGTTGATTTATTCTCTAAATAGGAGCTATTTCAAAAATTACTCGTTCTCTGAATTGATTTATTCCAAATTTATCCTCCCCAAATTTAATAGTTGGCTCTTGCGTCAATAGCTGTCACACACTCCTTCATTAGCTGTCAAGCACTCCTTCCACTCACTGTAAGTTGTCATCTCACTTATCTCTCTGCACATTCACGGAAGTGGTTTATACAATGAAATGTCTCTCTCCTCAAATTAGAACACACTTCATGTGTTGTAAAGATTTCACCGGAGAAAATCCTTCATGTGCTGTAATGATTTCATTGGAGGGGCACACATCGCATCCTAGTAAGAAAACTGAGGCGGCCGGCACACCAAACTATACGGCGGCAGAGCTACTGTGTGGCGCCGCCGCGGCGGAGCTGGACACCTAGGTGGGTTTTCTTCTTTTGTTTTGTTCTTCTCCCTCCTTGCTCTTGTCCTCTCTTGTCTTCTTCTCTTGATTTTTTTTTGCTATTCTCCGTTAATTTTTTCATTTATTTTAGATCTAGATTCTAACTGAAAATTATTATAGGAGTAATTATGGTATGCAAATTTTGGATTGAAAATTGTAGGAGTATTTGAGATCTGTGAATTTTCAAATTGAAATTTTTTAAAACGGTTTATTAATTGTTTCTATACCTACTAATATATTTTTTAAAATAACGTTACCAGTTTTTTTAATGCAAGGTGGAACAAATATCATTTTCTAGTAATTCCTTTATCAAGATGGCAATAACATAATAGTATTGTAAGTTATTGCTATTTTAAGATGGCAATAAAATGTCTATGTTTTTGGTAATTAATGCCATCACAAAGTTATAATATCATGTTTTTGACAAATAGTGTCATCTATATGACAATAATTCCATGATAAATGGCAATATATGACAATCCCCAATACATAATATAATTCCATGACAATGTCAAAATGAACAATGAATCTCCTGTTTTAATATGAATACCATCATGATGACATTCAAGTTATAAAATGACATTTTAAATCATTTTTCCAGATTTGAGGGGGTGGTGGAGTCACAAAAGGCAAGCGCAAAGAGTGATAGGAGCAAGTCGACGTATAATCCGGTGGCACCAGTGGATGGGGCTGTGACGCTGGCAACCAGCATCAACGAAGATGGCGGCGCCAGTGACTGGCGGCAACAGATATGGCGACTCCGGCGACGGAGGAGATTGGCGGCGGTGATGTCCAGTGACTGGTGGCAACAGAGATGACTGACGGTAATATTGGTAGAGGGAGCAGAGGAGATGGTGGTGATGTCCGGCGACGGAGGAGATTGACGGCGGTGATGTCCAGTGATGGCGGAGATGGCCGACGGCGGTGGCAGATCTAGGTGGTGTCAGGTCTAGGCAATAATGATGTTGTCGTCCACTTGTGGCACACAGGACCTGGTTGTATATATGCTTTTATTTATTATTCTATTTTATACTCTGTTATTTAATAAACATGTAGAATTTTCATTTAGGGTAGTTTTGTCTACTCATGTTTTTGTACTCCTATTCAAACTTACGCGACATAAGACTCCTACTTTTGCACATTAGTTATGTTTTGCTCCTAATCACGGAATTATCTCATTTATTTAAGTTCCTTGCGTCCTCAAACAACAAAATCTACTATACTAAATTAAAGAAAGTTTACAAGTTTTACGATCATTGTTAAGCTTATCACAATTTTTCATTTTTGTTACTCTATCCTCAAATGTTTAATAGCACTATTATAGAGTAGAAAGCGAGAAATAAATAGAGGTAAAATATTGATAAACTTGGGCATTGTGTATTGTTAAAATGTCCCACACCAGAAAATTGAGAAGCACTAGAGTGCTATATTAAGCTTCGGGCTACTCCTCCTATCAGGTTGACCTTTTAGGATGGAACCCCGAGTCTTAACATGGTATCAGAGCCAAATCGATCCATGGTGTGGGGCCCCTTATGAAAAATGACGACATGACGAAAAAAAATGACGAACCGATGAAAAAATGAATGACGACACGATCCAGACGAAGTGTCTGGTCATGAGGAGGGGTGTTAAAATGTCCCACACCGGAAAATTGAGAAGCACTAGAGTGCTATATTAAGCTTCGGGCTACTCCTCCTATCAGGTTGACCTTTTAGGATGGAACCCCGAGTCTTAACATGTATCCAGGTAGAGGTTAAGATGATTTGAACAATGAGATAAGAGTGGTCAGAAAGAAAGTACAATATTCTAAGAAAAAAACAAAATTTTGCAAAATACACAATTCAAAAAATTGCAATCTGTGAGCGAGTAAGAATGTTTGAAATGGGCTGGTTGGGAATGTGTTCTTCGACTGAAGCCAAGGTGCTCGGCATTGAAGAGGCCTTAAGTTGGTTGAAGGAGAAGAGTGAGAAAGTATTAATGTGGAATCTCATGCTTGCTTGTTGTTTCAACAATACTGAAAGGAGTTCTCAACTTGATAGTGGACAATATTATAAAATCGATTAACCCGTTCAGA